TGGATCCCTGGTGCAGGAAAGGACTTTGGGAGCACATTCCCCATGGAGGGACACTCCCTTAACCTAGAGGCAGGAGGGAGGACCTGGTCCCTACTCCAAATTTCTTGACAGATTTTGTTGACCCCTCTGGAAGACATCACCCTCCCTGTGGAGGGGGGGGGATGGGTTGGAATGGGAAGGTGGTTGGAGGACATGGGAGGGAGAGGGAACTGGGATTGACATGTAAAAAAAAAGAATTGAGATCCTTGTCCAGTGTGCAGGTTGGGGACCGTGGAACAAGCAGTTTGGTTGGGTCAGTCAGGGATCCTTTTTAATTTTTATTTGTTTATTTTTTGATACCGTCATGTCCATTACAGGAAGTTACTTGTCAAATAACTTAGAGGGAAACAGTATTCTGAGAAGTCCTGTTCACGGCGCCCAGCGCGTGCCTGCAGAGCTGTAACATGGTTTAATTCTGTCGACAGAACCGTGTTTCAACCCATGTGACCCGTGTGTGTGTGTGTGTGTGTGTGTGTGTGTGAGTGTTGCCCACTCTGGAAGCGGGGTTAGCTCTTCCGTCATTAGGTTAATGCAAACACTGGAACCTGAACTTTCAATAGTCATTTTGGAGAAGAGCTGAGAGGGAGTGGCTGGGTGGGCACGCCAACCCTGCCCTGGGCACGCCAACCCTGCCTGTGGGGTGTCCGGAGCAGAGACACGGGAACCCAGGAATCTAATGAGACGAGGGCTGCATTGTCGCACTAGGACTTAAGGATGCGAGGTCAGGTGTCAGGGTTTAGGTCTGTGTAAGTGTCTGTGACTGTACCATGTGACTGCAGATTCCCAGCGGCCAAGAGAGCAGGTCCTACAGATCACAGTTTTGGAGGTTGCATTCCTTCGGGTCTGTGATGGCTCAGTGCATGCTGTTGGCAGGGGAGGGCAGCGTAGACCACTGACTGATTCGTGTCTGGGAGCGGGAGTGTTTGGCTTCTGATAACTCCCGTGAGGACGCTCTGTCAGCAGCCCTATTTCCTGTCCTCACATTGGGGCTAACCCAGGACTAATTCTTAGGGCTCTAAGGTCCCAGTGCCAGCTGCAGGTGGTTTTCAGAGGGACGTGATTCATGGCTGCTCTGAATTCACTTTTTTTCTGTTTTCTTGTTTCCAGGTGGGTAAGGTTCAGGCTGCGGGTGTGAGGTGTCTGTCCATTGTTCATTGTATCAGCAATTTCTCAAGTTATAATCATTGTGTGTGTGTGTGTGTCTGTGTGTGAATGTGTATGTATGTGTGAATGTGTGTGTGTCTCTGTGTTTGAATGTGTCTGAGTGTGTGTGTGTGTGTATGGGTGTGTACATGGCATGTGTGTAGAGAACCCTTTGTGAAATTACTTCTCGCTTTCCACCTTTCTGTGGTTCTGAGGTTTAGACTCAGTTGTTAGCTTCAGGTACTCTGCACTCTGCTCTTTGGCTCAGAAGCCTCTTTTTATTTTATTTTTGATCCGGGTTCCCTGTAGCCCAAGTTGACCTCATATTTATTACGTAGCCGATGTTATCTTTGAGTTCCAGACCTCTTGCGGCCCCCTCCCAGGTGCCATCGCCACCACACATGCCTCTCTCACTTTCTAGATTGAAACTAGTTTCAGGAGACTCGGGCACAGGCCTTTTACGTGGGCCGTGGTGCAAGTCTGACATCCTGGGTGGCTCTGGGCTAAGGGAAATTGTCGCCAGGCATTTTTGTCACTCTGCTAACCTCGTGTGTGCTTACGTAAATTAAGACGGCTAGTGATGTCATTTATAACATCTTGGGGATTACCGTAGTTACAATCGGTTATTGTGCATCAGGGTGTCACCATGTGGCCGCATATGATTCATTATGTAGACTGTCGAAGATAGTTTCTTGTCCCAGTGCGCTTGCCTGACAGCAGACTAAACCGCGTGTCTCAGCCCGGGTTTTTGGGACTTGGGTAGTGAGACAGTCTGGGAGAATCAGTTTGTGGCATCTTCTAAAGGAAGCTGAGCTCCTTGAGGTTTATTGCTTAATTTAACACCGCATCCCTCTATACTGTTCCCACACGGTACAAATGCCGATCTCGGCTCAGTCGCATTGGACTGTCGGTTTACTTCCTTCTTTGTTCTCTCCCAGGGGTTGGTTCTTGGGTTTGAACTCAGGGCCTGCACATGCTCAGCAGTAGTTTGGCCACTCCCCTATGCCAGCTTTCTTCTCCAATCTGTGTTTACCTGCTGATTCGAAACAAAACCCACCACAAACCATAACAAGGCTTTTTTAGCCTGAGCAAATGCTAATGAATTCCCCTTAGACGTACTGACGGGAAAATACCAGATGTTCTACTGGAAGACGGAGCATTTCAGACATGTCTAGGAAGCCCACCTACATGGAGCCAGGGCAGGGGAGGTGACCGGTGTTCACTGGGGAGGGTGAAAGAGACTCTCCTCCTCCTCAGTGCTCACATGGGCAGGCAGGGACACTGGAACTCTGCAGAACCCCACGTTTACCCTGGGGAGCTGTCGTAGCTCCCAGTCAGAGGTCTCCCTTGGAGTGTCCCCAGCTGGACTCCTCGTCCTCCTACAGAAACCCCCGAGCAGCAGCCTCCCAGACTACACAGACCCCCCCCCCACCAAAACAGGCCCACTGAAGAGGCCGTTTGACCCTAGAGCCAAGATGGAAGGAAGGGCTTTCCTTTATTCAATAATTTCATTTATCAAAGCTTTCTAGAAGGACTCATATGGGATTGCCCAGCAGGGACAGATACATACATTCCTCTTCCGCCCCGAAGCTTTCCCACAGCGTTGGCAGAGACTGTCCCTGTGGGCGGGGCCGGGGAGGGCTAACAACCCAGATGTGGAAGTGACTTGTGCTGATGCATGGTTAGACCACGACAGCCACCCACACCATAGTGGATCCTCTCTGCATCTCCTGTTGGGGGGGCGCGGGGTGGTGGGGGAGGGGGTCCGGGGACTGAGGCACCTGTGGGTTAGCAGCCACGCAGCCACGTGTAGACTCCACTGAGGCTGGAGGGTTTCCCACACTCAGTGCTTCTGGCTGTCACCAGCCAGCTCTAGTGCCGGGGACCTGAGTTTGGAATAACTATAGAAAAAAAGAACCAAGCAGGTTTCCATAGCTGGTTAGCGGCAAATCTCACTGATTGGTGTATGTTTTAGGGAAGGTACTGAGGTATAATGACAGGCCACAGAGGAACTGAGCTTGTAGAGGTAGGAGGGGGTTGACAGAGGCCAGGGGAAGGGGCTGAGTCCCCAATACTGGCGCTGGGACACGGCTCTTCTCTCCTAGCTTCTAGGCTGAGGTTCCTTGGAGGAACCAAGCAACCAGTTTGGTATAGCTTGGTGCTCCGTTTCTGAGATTGCGTCCTTGAAGACTTGTAGAGTCAACAACATTCGAGGAGCCTCCCCCCAACCCCCCTCCCATCCCGCGCCTCCCTGCTTTTGTCTATACTATTCTAGAGCAACGTGATCCCTGCTTCAGGAAGTTATTATTGTCTGGCCTTGGAAATGTCCTTATCCTGCAACATCAAAAAGAGTCATGTGCACCCTTGACTTACTTCTGCATGTCATTTTTTTTTTAAAAAAATGATTCTTACTTTGATTTTACTAGTAAAAGGAAGAAAAGCATTTAAATGAGTTTTTTTTTTGGGGGGGGGACAGTCTTGCTGAGTTACTATTTTTCCTTTAAAATTAATTTGTAGAAAGATAATTAGAAGGTCAATAGCCCGTGTTTCAGTTTTCTGTCTGTTGCTGTGATAAAATGCTCTGGCTGGCGGGTGGGGGCAGCTTAGAGGAGGAGGGGAGGGTTTATTTGGCTCACACTTCAGGTCCATCGCGGAGGGAAATCAGGCCGGGCACTCAAGCAGGAGCGTGAAGGTGGAACCCTGGCGACATGCTGCTTGGTGCTTTGCTCATGGGCTCATTTTTAGCCAGCTCTCTTCTGCAGCCCTGACCACCCGTTCAAGGAAGGGTACTTCTTTCAGTAGGCTGGGCCCTCAGACATTGGTCGTCAGCCAAGACAGTCCCCTCGCAGACGCAGTCGCCCGCACTGCAGCCCCATTTGGGCCATCCTTCAACTGAGGCTCACTTCTCAGGCCACTGTAGGACGTGCCAGGTTGGCAGTTAAAGCTACCTGGGACCCCAGTTTCTCGGCCTGTTTTAGTGTGTTAGTTCTTAGCTTCTCTTGGTAATTTTCTTTTCCTTTTGGGGGAAGATGGTGTACCGAGGGTTGAATAAGGCAAGCATTTTACAACTGAACACCCCCCCCCCCAGTTTCTACTGGTAATTTTGTAACTGTGTTGTGTCATCGGTACAGGAGCTCTCCCTTTTATGTCTCAGTAAGGATTCCGGATTCTCCTGTTGTAATGCGCTACCAATCTTACTGATTTGGATTTCCAAGCACTCCCAGACCCTGTCTAGCTTTTCTGTCCTTGGCCCTATTTTCGTGTCCCTTGAGTACTGATGGTCTGTCTAGTACCTTTCCTGCCCCTTGTGATTAGATATTTTTAAGGATCCATTGTCTTTGTAAGGGAGAACGCCATTAAGGAATAAAGGTGCGGCTATTTGGATGTTGAATTGCACTCATCGGCTGGGCTGTGGGCCTCCAGGGCCTCCCAGTGTGTGTGCATGTGAGTGTGTATGTGTGTGTGCAGCATGTGTGTGCGTGTGTGTGCGTGTATGCTATGCATACTCGTGTGTATGTATGCATACTCGTGTGTGTATGTATGCATACTCGTGTGTGTGCACATGCGTGCGTGTGTGTGTGCACATGCGTGCGTGTGTGTGTGCACATGCGTGTGTGTGTGTGCAGCAAGTGTGTGCATGTGTGTGCGTGTATGCTATGCATACTTGTGTGTATGTATGCATACTCGTGTGTGTATGTATGCATACTCGTGTGTGTGTACATGCGTGTGTGTGTGTGTGTGTATGTGTGTGTGTGGTCTAAGGCGAGCGTCTACTTAAACACAAGTGTACAGTTCTCATCCCTTTAACTCTTTAACAGGTGGCTCAACCCGCTGTTTAGAACTGGCCACACACGGAGGTTGGAGGAAGATGACATGTTCTCGGTGCTTCCAGAAGACCGCTCAAAACACTTGGGAGAGGAGCTGCAAGGGTAAGCCTCACGAAGCCGCAAGGGGAGGGGAGGGGAGGCGAAGCCGGCGTGTGCGGCTTACGGCTCGCAGTAGAGTTTGGCCCTCCTATGTCCCGTGCTTCATCTCCCAACATTGTGTACTTCCCCTTAGGTTGTTCTGGCTGGGTGACTGAGTTGCCTGGGGAAAGGAAGCCTATGTTGGTAGATGTGAGAGGAGCCAGCTCCTCAGGCCCTCCGTGCCTGAGATCTGCCCCTGAGTGTGCCTTACACCAGAGCGAGTGCCTTCTGTGGCTACCAAGGTTGCTGCTGTAATCCAGCAAAGCTGGGCAGTAACTTGTTCCCTGAGGCATTCCCCCTTGAGGCTCATTTTCCTGGTGCAACGAATTCCGCCTCACTCACCTTTCTGGGTCCCTGGGGACAATCAGCCAGTGCTTGTGCAGCATCCCCAGGATAACCCCGTCACAAACACTCGTCTGGACTTTTGTCACCCTCTCCTTTACACAACGGCTGGCGGTGGTGTTGACTCAGCTTCTGTCTTACTCTAGGTACTGGGATAAAGAAATTCTGAGAGCCAAGAAGGACTCGCGGAAGCCTTCCTTAACCAAGGCCATCATAAGGTGCTACTGGAAGTCGTACCTGGTTCTGGGGATTTTTACGTTAATAGAGGTAAATGCTTGTCGTGCCCAGGTACCTGTTTCTGAGAGGGTGGGCGAGGAGGAGACCTGCTAACTGGTAGTCATTGTTAGTTAGTTCCACAGTGGAACCAGAAGGGAGAAGGGATCAGATGGGCTCCGAAAGTGTGCTGAGCTCAGGGAGGAGGAGAGACGAAGTGCCTTAGGGATGGGAGATGCTCAGGTGGCTGAGGCTGAAGGAGGTCACTGTTTCTTCTGAGTATCAAAATCCAGTGTTACGACTCAGCAGCTCAAGGCACTTACTGCTCCTGTAGAGATGTGGGGTTCAGTTCCCAGCGCCCACACCGCGGCTCACAGACATTCCCAAGTCCAGTTCAAGGGGGTCCAACACCATCTTCTCACTTCTTGGCTTTCAGCATATGCACAGTGCACGCACATTACACTCAGGTACACACACACGTGTATATACACACACAGACACACAGGCACATGCACAGGTGCACACACACAGAGGCGCACACACACAGGTGCACACACACAGAGACACATAGGCACACACACACACAGGCACACACATACACACACACAGGCACACACACACACAGACACATAGGCACACACACCCACAGGCACACACACAGGCACACACATACACACACAGGCACACACACACAGAGACACACAGGCACACACACCCACAGGCACACACAGGCACACACACAGGGCACACACATTAAAAAAAAAACAACAACGTTAAGAATGCAGTGCCATAGGAAGCTGGTGGTATTCTGTAGCACACAGGAATGCTGGTGTTTGGTCAGTGCTGTACACACAGATTCATGTTTGTTCACACTTGAGGAGACATGTCCTGTGGTTGGGAAGAGGTGCATTTGGATCAGAGCCCAGAATAACCAGTGCCTAACAAGTAATTGTTAAGTTCACCATGCCAAGTCCGATAAATGCTTTCCTGGGAAGGTATTGTCAACTTTCCCCACCCAGGTAAATAAGACTTGGTGCCATGTGCCTGGGCTAGCCCCGGCGCCCCAGAGGCCAGGACTGGTTGGAGCCTAGGAGTTACTCACCCTCTTCCCAGTGACTGTGCACTGAGGACTGGGCCGCTCTGGGCTGTGGGACAGATTACTGCTCTAAAGTTGACTTTTGGTAGCCTGGGATTGCAGAGTACTGATAAACCGTAGATGGAAAGCTGTGAGACTCTTCAGGATTGTCCTGTAAAATAGTCTTCTGCCTAGGGGACAGGGCCCGTGATTGTCAGTGGCTTGCTGGAGGGGACCCTGAAAATTTGGCTGTGTGGCTTGTCCCCTTGGTGAGGAAAAAAAGTCATTTGTGTTTTTATTTATGCATATCTGTGTGTATGCCACATCTGTTGGGATGTGTGAGGGGGCCAGAGGAAGAGGTCTGAATCCTCAGAGCTGGGGTTACAAGGCGTTGTGAGCCTCCTGACCTGGGTGCTGGCATTTCAGTAATAAAAGAAGGTTCTTGAAAAAGGCTGCTTACCAGGAACTGTGTATGAGTCCTATACACAAGATGTTAATTTTATTACTTTTAGGAATTTGGTGAGGTGGGAGGTATTCTTGTTATCAGCAATCCCCAGGTTCCGAGTTGTCAGTATCGTGTGCCCAGGCCACCCTGAAACGTGAGTGACAGAGCTGAGTTTCTGTTTCAGGCGCCTTCTGAGATGAACCCAAACCTTGCTTGACTTTAGCCCTGGGATGATTGATGGGGCCAGGATGGTCCTTGGGGCACTGATGGCACATGCATTTGTCAATTAGGATGTTTTCCTAGGTACAGTATCTCCTGGGGCCGGAAAGTTCCACGGAGTGCTGGAAAGTGGCTGTCACTGATGGGCAGCGTGTCTCACGCAGCGTGTCCGGGAGGACCTCGAGTCCTGTACCTGAGACTGGGCTGCCTCACACACCCGCATTCAGCATCTTCCCTTGAAGCAGCGCCTTCCCCGTTAGAGCTTTTACTTTGCACTGTGCTTCGAGCACTGTCTTCCTGGTTTACCGTCCACCCCTGGAGGAGGCTGCTTAACTCCCTCAACGGACACACTGAAAAAGTCCATTCCTATACTAGGGACAAATACTGATCCACTGCCAGAGGCCCCACAGACTGCCCAGGCCTCCTCACTGACACCCACATTCAGGGGCCCTGGTTCCGTCCTATGCTATGTGAGCTCCCCTTGTTCAGATCGGCTGTCTCTGTGGGTTTCTCCATCCTGGTCTTGACCCCCTTGCTCATCACTCCTCCCTGTCTGCAATTGGATTCCAGGCATTGGGCTCAGCTAGAACAAATACTTTTGTTCTCATGGACTGGCCCATTGTACTGAAGATTTGGAGGAGTCAGAAATAATTTCTGAAGGGAAAGCTAATAAGGGTCCAGGCACATTTCAAGATGTCCCAATGGGTGTGGCGCCACATGCCTACTTCTCAAATAGGTGGGAGGTTGAGCAAGATGAGGGAGGGCTGGGGTCGTCTGGGCTAGGGAAACCTTGTCTTCAAACACAGGAAGAAATTGCCTTCAGATGACGTTTATGATTTTTGTGTGTGTCCCTTCACTCTTGGCAAAAGCAGCTTCAGGCAGGAAGTGCTTGCTGGGCTCACAGTTTGAGGCGCACATAGGCCATCACCGTGGGGAGCGTGTTGGCTGTCACAGGAGGCAGTGGTCGTATTGAGCCCCTAACCAGGAAGCAGAGTTGAGGAATGTTAGTGCTCTGGCCTCCTCCCTACTCAGCCCAGGTCACGTAGTTCATGGAATGTTGCCACCCACATCCAGGGTGGGTCTTCCCACCTAAGAAATCCCTCACAGCCATGCTCAGGAGTGTAACTCCTGGGCAATTCTGTATGCAGTAGGATTGGCAGGCGCTGTGAACCAGCACGGGCTCCATCCCGAGCCAGACGCGACGAGCCATAGTTTAGTAGTTGAGTCCTTATTTTAATTTCTTCTCTGTGTTGTTCTTTGGTCTTTGAGTCTGATACAGGCAGAAGGATGAACCCCGTGTGGCATTTTGTACAACACAGATGTCTTTCTTTGGTTGACACCTGAGCTGTGTGTGTGACACGGCTCACCCCAGCAGGGCCTTCCCCGAGGGTTAATGGGGGCCCCACCAGGGGAGAGGACCGTGATGCCAGTGGCCGGAGAGGCCTTGCCTTGAGATGTCTAAGTAGCACCTCACCTCGTCTTGTGAGAACTGAGGATTGACCGTAATGCTTGGAGAAACAAGCGTGATAGCAACTAAAGGCACACTCATACAGACCAGTGAAGGCCAGCTCACAGCGTGCAGCGAGTCCCAGCATTCTGTCCCCTGTGTGCAGCTCCGGGGAAGTTTCCACACATCCCAAGCCCTCGCAGTAAAGAGCATGGTGGGGTGGTCTGCGCGGGCCTCCTCCTCAGGTCATCCCAGGCCTGGGCTTTGAGCGATGAGAGTTCTTGTCTGTGGGAGTCTCAGTGGACTCTCCTGCTTGTAGTACCCGTCACAGGCAAGGCCCGGCAGGGTGGGCTGAGTCTTGTCCTCTTGTGAGTCTTGTCCTCTTGGCCTTTGGCAAGAAGCGCCGCTGTAGGCTTACTTTTATTTTATTTGTGTGAGTGTTTTGCTTGCGCGCGTGTGTGCGTCCGTTTATGTGTAGCACGTGCATGTAGCGCCCGCAGAGGTCAGAAGACGGCACTGGATCCTCTGGAGGAACGATAGGAGGAGGAAAATGTGTATGTCTCCACTCTGTGGTACTCCTTGCTCAGCTTGTTCTTCCATAGAGTTGTAAGAACGTTCTAGAAACACAAAAATAGACCAGAACCAGGAGCCTCTGTTTGCCTTTGAGCCACACTTCAGTAATTTATCAACTCACGTTGGGACTTGAGTCACCCATGACCCTGCCCAGTCATTTATCTAAGGGTGTTTCCATTGCACCTTTAACGGTTGGGCTCTCCCCTGCAGAATCATAGTACAGTTGTCCCACAGACACATTAACTAAAGCTTTAACATCGGCAACGCGTCTTGCCAGGGCTCATTTCCCTCCTTTGTTTTCTTAACCTACATTTTATCAATTTGAATACTATATTGCCTAGCCATCCCCTCAGCTCAACTTAAATAGTCAGGATTATCAATACAGGCAATCCCAACCCACCCACCCACCCACTCACCCATCCATCCATCCACCCATCCATCCACCTACCCATGTACACATGCACACACCCATCTGTCCGTCCATGCGTACATGCCTGCATTCATCCATCCCTGCATTCATCCCTGCATCCATCCCTGCATCCATCCCTGCATCCATCCCTGCATCCATCCCTGCATCCATCCCTGCATCCATCCCTGCATTCATCCATCCATGCATCTATCCATCCATCCCTGCATCCACCCATCCATCCCTGCATCCATCCATCCCTGCATCCACCCATCCATCCCTGCATCCATCCATCCCTGCATCCACCCATCCATCCCTGTAACCATCTCTGCATCCCTGCATTCATCCATCCATCCCTGCATCCATCACGTCACTTCTTGTAATTATGTGTAACCTGAGTACCATACCAACAGGCATCAGGAGAGGGCACAGGCATTATTGGTGGCTGTGAACCTCCCAGCTAGCGTGTGGGGACTTGAACTTGTGCAAGAGCAGCGTGTGCCATTTACTGGCAGCCTAGTTCTGTACTGCTGTGTTCCCTGTACTGTGGACTGGTAGTCCCATGAGATGATGGGCAACGGCCTCCACTCTACAGTTACCTTTACTGCTTGGTTAGCAACGGTTGCCACAGTCTGGGTTGGCCGATGGCATGTCCCTCCTGAATCACTGAACATGTTGTTCTGGCAGCAGGAGTTACAGATAAGAAGTGTACCTCCCCACTCACAGGGGGACTTCATCCTCCATGCTGTGCCTTCACTGCAGGGGGCCTAACATGTGCTTGCTGTCTGTCCTGTGTGCTGTTAGCAGGTGTTCATGGTTTAGGGGAGATGGCTCCAAAATGGTGACGTGGCTGTTATTTTCCCTCTTCATTTATTATCTGCAATCTTCCCAGGGTGGCTAAGTCTGGTCTGGATAGCCCTATGGTTACCCTGAGGTGCAGCATGTATAGAAAAATCAAGAGAACTTCTTACCTTCTTTTCTTGTAAATTAGTTTTCAGACTGTGAGTGGTCCTTTGACATTCCCCCTGGGGCTCAGGAGCTCTTTGTTGGCTCAGATAAGAGCTCGTCTTCACAGAAAGCTGCTCTTGTCTTCTCTGCTGCTTTCTCCTGCACCTTTAAGGAATGATTGTATTTCGCTTAAGTCCTTTTAAATATTTATTTATTAGTGTCTGTGTGAGTGTGTGTGTGTCTGAGTGTGTGTGTGTCTGTGAGTATGTGTGAGTGTGTTGTGTATGTCTGTGTGAGTGCATGTGTCTGTGTGAGTGTGTGTGAGGTGTGTGTGTGAAGTGTGTGTGTGAGTGTATGAGTGTGTGTATGTCTCTGTGTGTGCACGCATGTATGCAAGTGTATGTGTGTGTGAGCGAGTGTGTGTGTGAGGGAGTGTGTGAGATTGTGTGTGTGCGCATGTGTGTGTGTGTGATTGTGTGTGTGAGTGTGAGTGAGTGTGTGTGTGAGGTGTATGTGAGTGTGTGTCTGTGTGTGTGAGATTGTCTGTGTGTGTGAGTGTGTGTGTGTGTGTTTACAGAGTGTGAGATTTGGTGTCACGCCTCATTTGGGGACCTGAGGTGTCTCCTGTAAATGTGCTGACTGGGGGACCAGCTAGTTAGGAAGGCGGTTTAGCTTCTTGTTTCCTTCCCCGCCCTCTCTTCTTTCCCTTCTGTGTGTGGGGTAGGATCCCCACTTCCCATGGATAGAAAATGTCCTCAGAAGCAAACTTGTCAGCTGTCTGCATGTCTCTGTTACGTGAGAGGAACTGCTCTTCAAAGCCAAGTGTCTGAAGGATTTCCAGTTCTGCCTTTTCATCCTCGGGGAGGTGGTGGCAGGGCCTACGTGTTTACTTTTGGTGACTTTGATCTGCAGTGAGTGTTTGGTGTTTTGGTTTTTCCATGGGGGAGGGGTCTGTGGAGATCTGCAGGGAGAAAGTGGGGGTGACTCCTGTCCTGTGCTGAGGGCTCAGAGTCCTTCCGCGCTGGACAGAAGTGACTTTCCCCAGAGCCTTCCCATCGGTATAGGGCTCCGACCTTTGTCTTAGAGAATAGACGGTCACTAATCTTGACTTATAATCAAATCCTAGTGCTGCAGACCAGCAGGAAATCACCTGTACCATTTGTGCTACGATTAATTTTCCATTCCAGGCTGGCTCAGTGAAGGCAGCAGTGACCCTGGGCACACAGTGGGTAGTGGGTAGAGACATGTCACACCCGTCTCCCCGGGGGCCCTGCAAGCCCTGCACCTTCACAAGCCCTGCAGAAGGTGGGCTACACTGGCATGCGGAGCGTGCGCTGAGGAAGGTTGGAACGGCCTCTTTTTTGTCCCGTGTTCTCACAAATGTCTCAGCTGGTAAGGCCGAAACAGCAGGAGGATGTGGCGGGCCTGAGTGTGCCCCTTGTGAATGGACCACACCTCCACTTCCTGTTAGGCTGGGCGGGACATTGAGAGGTCGCAGGACACAGGGTGGCATGTTTGTATTTAAGCGAATGACCACCCCTTTCCCCCACCCCCTCCTTTGGCCACATTTTTATTTCTTTTTTTTTTTTTTCTTATTCATTTTCAGCCAGGATGTTTTTTGGCAGCCTGCCTTTTTTTTCCTAACAGCTGATTCTAGTGTGTACGGAACATCCGCCGGGACCGGTCACGCGTACTAATGCCTTACTGCCTTTGAGCTTGTGACTTTGAGTTCAGGTTAGAGTACTGATTTGCTGTGTGAGGGCAGAAGCAGCTTTGTCTCCCTTAGGTCGGGGTGAGGGACGTACAGAAAGGAAGCTTGTGCGGAGGGAAATTGGCGTGACCTGTATTTCTTCTAATGGATGTTTTGTTTATTTGTTTCTTTCTCTCCCTTTCAGGAAAGCACCAGAGTGGTCCAGCCCCTATTTCTGGGGAAGATCATTGAGTATTTTGAGAAGTACGACCCCAGCAACTCTGTGGCCTTGCACATGGCTTACGGCTACGCCGCTGTGCTGTCCGTGTGCACGCTCGTCCTGGCCATACTGCACCACTTATACTTTTACCGCGTGCAGTGCACCGGGATGAAGCTGAGAGTAGCCATGTGCCACATGATCTACCGGAAGGTAAGTGACACCGACCTGTCAAAGCATGCAGAAAGCGTCCTGGGAGCGTGTCCCCTAAACGAGTTGGGTGTCGTCGTCGTGGTGTATGCCTGTGTTCTCGATGCCAAGGAAAAGGAAGCTCACAGGTTCAAGGCCCTCTAGGACTCTCTGACTAGACCTGGCCATAAAAACAAACCGTTTAAACCACACTAGGGAAGCTTGCTGTCTGGCTTCGGCTATAAAAATTATTATTATTAATTATTATTTATTCTGCAAACTTTCCAAACTTTCCCAATAGAACACGGAAGTTTCCTCTTGGTCAGGTGGTGGCTGCTTGTAACACCAGGCAAGCTATTGCATTTCTAGAGAATTTGGGTAAGCCGTAAATGCAGCATTGATTTTTTTTTTTTTTTTTTTCCCACTGTTTCCAAGGCTAAATCTCTTAACCGTGTTTATGGAAAGTTTTCTGGTGTTGTTCACTGAAGTCTTCACTGCAACAGGCCACAGGGTTTTCAGGATGAAACCTGGGAGAAAAGATTCTTCTAGAAAGGGAGGGGTGTTTTTACACCAACTGTTTAATTACGTTTGATCTAATTCTGTGAACGTAAAAGGAAATATAAGCCAAACCCATACTAAATACAGGGCGTATTATAGTTGTGTGTCTTGTTTTAAACATAGGAAAAGTAATTTTGGAGAAAACGTTAGCGTCCGTGTGTCTTGTTCTGATTTTTAAATGTGTTTCGCCTTGCTCCCACCGAGGTTTAATGATAAGACCTGGTGTGATGTGCTCAGTGCCTTTTGTGCTGGGCACATTAATCCTGGGTTACCCTGACTGTAGCAGTGATGAATGATGTCACTAGGGAGCAGGGGCAGCCACCAGGAGGCAGGAGGCAGTGTCTGCAGGACTCTCTGGGCACCACTGGCTAGTCTGCTACCTACATTCTGAGCAGCCACCAGGGGTCCGGGGCATAATCTGGTCCACCACACTACACTCTCTTGCTTTCCTGTTTTTACTTTCATTCATTTAATTATTTCATTTTATGTGTTTTCCCTGCATGCGCACACGCACACAGCACGCACACACACATTCTTTCTGTCTCTCTCTCACACACACACACATAAACACACACACACACATATGCACATATACACACACATCCACATACAAGGCACACATACACACACATGCACACACTACTCACCCCCCCCCCCCCACACACACACATGTCATGGTACCTAATGCCTGAAGACCCACATCCTCTGCAAGGGCAATGAATGTTCTAAATTGCTGAGTTATTTCTCCTGGCCATTTTCCTTCCTTTCTTTCTTTATTGTTGTTCAGTTGCCATTTGGAGATAACATCAAATGATAGAAACTACCCCATTAGCTACATTTATTTTGGTTTATCTACAACTTCCATGGATTTTCTTCAGCAAATACAAAGTATCCACTACATGTCTTCCTTGATAAGTTTTATTAATCTTGGTGTTACGTGGTTTGTGGAGGCCCCCGAAACTTAGCATCTCTTTTAGGATCTAGCCTAAAACACATCTAGTCTGTGGTGTGTAATGTCTGTGGGGTCTGATCAGGGGTCTTTATCATCACCATCTTCGCCGTCATCATCATCATCATCATCATGATGTCTGCGGCATGCTCTTCTATCATGCAGGAGAATATCGAAATTTCTCTACAAATTGTCTCTATTTTAATCTTCCTAGATGCCCCTTAGCTCCCTAAGAGCTTAGGAATTTTCATTACCACTGTACTGTGGACAACATAATCACTCGAGTCAGGTGTGAGGTCCAGGTAACGAGAGCTCCTGTGCAGGTGGACCCTTCTATTTTTCTCCCTATTTCGTCTGTCAGCACTTTGGAACTGGCCTTTGGGAAATCTGATCTGGCTTGGTAGCTTTGCTTACCTGACTGTAAGTAAACACCTCCCGAAGGTATTAATTTGTTGGTACAGTGATCCCGGAAGTATCTCTGTGAGGTCCAGGGTTGCTGGGGTCAAACCAAAGACTTAGCCTGAAACTCTAGGAACGTGGGAAACACGAATTTCCTCTTGTTGGCCTTGGGCAGGAAACATGCTGAGGGAAAGCGATAGGATGCCCCATCTCAGGAGACAGCTTCTGCGGGGCTGAAGACGGCCAGCGTGCCTAGGCCTCACCGCCCAGTCCATGTCCTAGGAGAAATCAGATTGGGTGGCGGGAATGGAGTGACCCTTTTGTTCATGGTACTGAATGACCTCATGGGATGGGTCTTATATAAACATGGCTTGTTGATCTGGAGAGATGGCTTGGTTGGTGGAGAAAGTGTTGGTTATGGGAGCATGAGGCTCAGAATTTAGACACCCAGACCCCATATAAAGGCCAGGTGTTATGGTGGCCTGGCCTAACTGCAATCTTAGCACTTCAGATGGGGAGACAGGAGACCTCTGAGCAAGTTTCCTGCTTAGACTGGTCAAATTGGAAACTTTGGGTTTCCATGCCTTCCTTAGTAAAGAAAGTGGAGAAGAATTCATGACGAACCCTGGTCTCCACGGTGTCCAAGTATATGTGGATGGATATGTACCACACACATACACATGTAATGAGGTGACTTGCCATTCTTTTACCGTGGCCGCTTTGATAAAGCTGCACTAGCACTGGAATGCTGTGCTCACAACCTTTGGAAGATGAGTTGCTGCTGCCTCTATCGAGAGACCAGTGCCCTTCCTTCACTAGTTGATCTGGATGCAGGTGTGACTCGTCCAGCTTCAGGTCTCATGAGATTTGTTCTTTGGCTTCAGTGTGAGAGAGAGAGCCACCTTGGATGAAGATGGCTGCTCTAGTCAAGGTGAGAATGAGTCGAAGACATCTGGGACCCTCTATCCCTGGGGCCTTCTTTGTCTCTCTCTCTCTGATCTTGGCTCAGGCTCATTATAGGATTTAAGGGCTGAAAGTCTGTGTGTGGACACACTGGATGATGGTCTCAACACTGAGGACGGTCTTGCCATTCTGATTTTCATTATAAAATGCACAAGGCACAGCGTTTCTCCCCTCGGGTCTACGGTGCAATCTGCAGGGCTTTCCCGGCTTTGTGTCTTGTTTGAAGAACCAGGGCCCGTTCCCGTTGGAAATGATTACTGAGGCTTTGGATTTGAGATGGCTGGCTTGCTTTGAGTGCCCAGCCAAGCTAAGGTGGTTGGTGGCTGCCTGTGTTGATGTTAGTGTCTCCTCTTTGAGTTGTTTTCCTCAGGCAAACTGCTCTGGGCTTCAGCAACCTCATCTGTAAAGCAAAAATGGTATAAGCTCCTTCCTTGTGTGTCTGTGGTAAGGACCTGGGTCCATCTGTGTAGGGCAGTTAGTGTGGAGTCGACATGCAGTGAGCATTTCTACATTCCTGGTGCCTTTGTTATTGGCACTCAGTCATGGGAGGTTTGAAGACACATATGTAGGTAGGTGTGCGCAGGGGTGAAAAGTGGCTTGCAAACGGGTAGACTTACGGCTTACAGAATACTCCGGGCGGTTGGTGGGAGTGGGTGTCTGGTCCAGGAGAATGTGTGTTCAAACACTGTTAAGATCGAAAGACAGAGAGGAAATGTAAGGACACCATTACTCTCCTGGTGACCTTCTTTCTTCCTTGAGCTAGGCGACATCTACAGTTTGCAGAACCTCCAAAAATGAAAGTATCACTTCCTGGAGGCCAGTCCCTCGACATGTAAGTGGGTAGCCACGGTTAACGTTCTTCGCTGAGGAGGCGCTGCCCTGTGCATTGTGCACAGAACACTGAATAGGAGTCCTTTATCTCAGGGACCAGCCCTGCACACTGCCTGTTTTTCTAACCGTCCTGCTTTGTGGCCGTTTGTATGGCCGAGCAGGAGGTGTGGCCGGTGAAGTGTGGGTTTGATAGCCTGGCTGTTTACGGCTGGGGAGCTGGCAGCTCTGTGTGTACAGTGCAGGGCGTGGCAGCGTGTCCTGTTGGGAAATAGTCCTACCTTTCTTGTTGAGAAGACAGAGGCCGGCAGCATGTGTTAGGAAAGGGTCCACAGGTTTCATCTTGAGTCACATGTGTGCTTAATAAAACAGCCCCCCCCCCCGGGGCCGTCTCTGGAAAGGAAAGGTCTTAGAAATCTGTATGCTGAACTTGTGTCCTGGGGAATGTTTGGGGCATGTTGTCGTGGAGGATGAGGGCTGGCACAATAGTTGAGGGTCATGGCGGGGGGTGGGGACGACGACAGATGTGGCCTCTTTGAGAGGGACAGTGTGACATGAACCCTGCATTGTTTGATCTGTGTACTTACTGAGTGAGGTTGAGAATATCTTGATGGTAAAATTGATCTGAAATAAATGCACATCCTCTTTCAGTTTTTAAAGACATCTTTCTAGATTTAAGGTTTATAGTGGGTGGTTATTTCCTTTTGTGCGTTCAAAGGTAACTCAGAACATTTAAACTACAGAAGTTAAAGGTCATGGCACAATACACAAATCACAGAGTGGGTCATTTCAAGTACACTTCATCTGTACCAGTAACACTCACCTTACTCTGTAGCCAAGGTTGCTATGGTCTCCGGAATCCCTTTGCTCTTGCAAAACCAAATCTTTGTAGCCATTAAATACCTACTGTTGCCCCTAGCAACCACCGTCCTATCATTTCCCTCTCTTCCTGGTCCCTAGCAACCACCATCCTATCATTTCCATTCCCTCCCGGTCCCTAGCAACCACCATCCTATCAGTTCCCTCCCTTCTTGGTCCCTAGCAACCACCATCCTATCATTTCCATTCCCTCCCGGTCCCTAGCAACCACCATCCTATCATTTCCCTCCCTTACCAGTCCCTAGCAACCACCATCCTATCATTTCCCTCCCTTACCGGTCCCTAGCAACCACCGTCCTATCATTTTCTCTCCCTTACCGGTCCCTAGCAACCACCATCCTATCATTTCCCTCCCTTCCTGGTCCCTAGCAACCACCGTCCTATCATTTCTCTCCCTTACCGGTCCCTAGCAACCACCATCCTATCATTTCCCTCCCCTCCTGGTCCC